TGAAAGTGTTTACAGAAGTCAATATATACTAATAGAACGCTTAGAAAAAAGTACATTGGACTTGAATAAAACCAGTTAAAAACAATGCAATGCTGCATAATTACTAAAAACAAATTAAAAAAAATGTCTTCATGAGGTAGATGAAGATTGCTTAGAAAAATATATAATACAGTTAACTATACACATACAGACAAACAAACTTGATATGTAGATGGTTCACAAAGCCTTCGTTAACAAAATCTATAAGACAATTAGTTGCTATAGTAGTAGATTTGTTCCATCTATAGTAAATACAAACGGCTTGTCATTGAATAATTAACTTGACTCAAGATGAGAGGTAAGTCGATCCTTTATCAGAATTTCAAAAATCTTAGCAAAGTATGAGATTAGAGAAATTGGTCGAGGGCTGGAGAGCACATCAGCCGATTCGTTATTAAGTATTGGAATGACTTTGGATATATTGAAAATTTTATGAAAAGTGATATTTCGAATACAAATATTAAGAAGTTTAGTGAGTGGAACGATAATCAGATTCATTATAGTCTTTACAATTTTTGAATTCAAATTATGTAACATACATCAACAATAACACAGGGATACAAATCAAATAATCGTCCACAAAATATTCATGTAGTATGAACCCATTTGCAGTTCTGAACAACAGCAGAAAGTAGTCTACGATCTATAAAAATGTAGAAAATCAGTACATTTGTAGACGTCGTTTATAAATATAAAGCTTGAGTATTAATTGCCGGTTGACGGATGATCTCTCCTTAGATTTTAAGCGAACATTGATTGGTGGTCTATCTACTGAGCATTTTGATGATATTTTTTTGACAGTTTGGCCTTTTGTACCTAAAGATAAGGCCGAAAATAAAACAAAAAGTGTTTAAATTTCAAAAACCAATGCTTTGAATAAGATCACAAGCATATGTAATAAGATGAAAATAGGGTAAAGAGAATATGCAAAAAATATGGGAAACGTTTAGTCTAGCGCTTATATAAATAGGCAAATAAATGGAATTTATAAGGTTGTTTTTGATAAGGTTGTTTCTCAACGTATAATAACACTCAAACGGTATTCAATTCTCAATTCTCTCATACATGTCTCACAAATAGTTACTTACTTTTGAGTTGGTTGCCTGGATGTGTACTGCCTTACTGCAAATTTAACGGGTGGGCTTTTTGTTTTTAGCACTTAGGCTTAGGCAATAGGCGATACTGTTGTTGAAAAGTTACATTGTGATGACTGGTAGTCAAATAAGACTGTGGATTCTTTTACCGATTACAGATTATTAAAGAAGACTGACAAATAGGTATATGTACTTCTTCACGATAGTCGGTTTACGATTTGGATGTAAAACGGGAAATTCGACTTTCCCAGATGTTCGCTTTGCCCCGTTTCCCCTATGTAGCTTAAAAATATTAAAACATAGAAAATTAAAAAGTGTGACATGTAAGTCAATATTTACGTGTAATTTTCAATCAAAAATATGATTAACATGATCCTTCTGCTTAAACCACATACCACTAACCCTATTTACTGCTATAACAACGTATGTGCAGTTTTTAAGGCTTTTTATATTGTCATTATCAATTAACCGTGTTAAATTAAATTTCAATGTAATAGAACTCAAATATAACATTAAGTCCAAACACCGTTTTGATACTGGTTTATAAGCTCTTACTATCTCATGAAAGATTCAAATTATAGGACTTACGAGATGTTTGCGCTGTCCGATTCATTTATTAATATGAGGCTCGAATCTTAGATTTTAGTCTTATTATGATCCTAAATTTTTTAGAGTAGCTGAACAAGGTATGGACTCACATCTTATTTTGACATGAAAAGTGGGCTCAATATAGTCTTTAAAGCTACCAACCAAAATAAGGTGAGATTTGCTAGCATTAATTTGTAGACCATGATTTTCCGAGAATACAACTAATCTTTCAATATCATGATTCATGATAGCGAAAGCATCGTGTTTTTCTTCAAGACTGAAATAAGAATAAGGCTGGGTATCGTCAGCATACAAATGTTCTTGACAACTTCGGAAACAACATAATAGTGTAGAGGGATGTCATGTTTAGAGAAATCTCCTTTATCGGTTTCTTCATTGTGAAATCAGTCAGTTAAATAGTATAGCGTAATACTGTAAGGCCCCCGTACGTGCAGTCCAACAATGGCTAGTCCAGTCCGCGAATTCATGATGAAATTAGAGAGGTGCGCGAGGCGACTGCGTGCCCGTATGTGTTTTGCTGGTGGACTGCAAAGTGTGCAAAGCCGCTACTCTTACACGTATCTTGCCTTCTAATGCCACACTTTCTAATGCCGTTAGAACAACGCTCTGGCGTCTGTTCCTCTTACTCGCAGTTTATACATATCAACAATCCATCATTATTATGCAAATCTGATTTTTATTTAATCGTATGGTTTACGTGACAGTTAATAGGTATATGGTCTATAAAGCAGTACAAGATAAAGTTCACGTGTGAGTAAACAAAGTGAATTGGAATTTACATCCCCCGGTCAGCAGAATAGGTCTACGTTGATAATTCTCAATTCTTTTCTAGCTGAAACCACATGTAAAGAATTGACTTTTGGCCACCTCTGTGTCCTTCTTCAAAGTAAGTTTATCAACGTTGTTTTTAAGGGAACCTGACCAAAGCCTTTCTACTGCAATGCATAGGTCCGTTGTGTTGGCTTTTCGGAATGAAGTATAATAGATCTGTATTGTAATTTCGTTCCCTTCTAGCGGAATTGTAGCTGTTCTTCTACCATCATGCACTAAGAAGACGTTTTCTTGAGTAGCCCACTCGAGCACTGTCCCGTTCACTGTAGTTTGTGTCAAAGATGCCATCTACCAGAGACCGCGCAGCAAGTTTACATCGTTTGTTGAGGTTCCCAACTAGCAAAGTAGTGCTATAAGCTTTTGGTAAAAGAACCGTTCAGCTATAAAAGTTCTCTATTGTTGTTGCCCGTACACCAAAATGCTGGCTTAATGTTGTGTGGAATGCAGATTTGCTTTCTGCGACATATTTGTTCTAAAATGAGGTGTTTAAAATATCCTTATAGCATAGTTATACAACACCTTATAGGACAAATTTTTAACTGTTGCATAAATGTTTATAAAACTATTTTATACGGCATATTTGCACTTTAGTCAAAATGGTTGTATTGTGGCATCCATGGTAACGTTTTTAAAACAAACCCGAGCCTTGTTTTGCTGTGCAAATTTACTACTTTAGCCAACAAATTGCTCCCAGCGGAAACACTTATACAACTGTTGTTTAATAACTGTTAAAGGGTGTACATATGCAACAATATTACAATTTTTGTAGTAAAAAATTGCTGCGCTCGGCATACATTTGTTGCTAAATATGTTGGTATACAACTTCACCATAACCTAACTTTCTGCTGTCATATTTTTGTTACAATGCCATAACCAATGTTTTAAGGCAAACAACGCATGCATATTGGTTCAAAAGGTTTTATCAACTGTTCAAACAGAAGATATAGATCTGGTACAAATTCTGGTTCAATCATTCGACTCTGTCGGTATTTCAATACAGAAATTTGTCAAATTGTTGTATAACACCTGCAGGCCACACCAAAAAATTCTGATAAACTAAAGACAACATGGACGATGCCATGATTATACTCAACCACCCGCCATATTGGGCAAACATTTATTCCTCTATTTAATATTAAGTAATTATGTTTCAGTTCGAAATTACAGAGATAACGTGATAAACATTAGTGTAATTGTGTCTAAATATAGGATTTGTGGAAGATTTAACGCAGATAAGTTCAGTTCAGATCTTAAAAATCTAGACATACTTTTGATCATTATTAAAATATGAATCAAAGACGAAGCTCGTAGAAATTGCGTAACTAAATTGCACGATGCTCACAATAAAATTTGCTGCGCAAGTAATTCAATAGCCCTATATCAAAGTGTAGAAGTTTATCATATACCTGTGTATGAAATTCACAATGGCCGATATGTAAGTAAACAAGATGACTGTTATATATTCTTCACTTCGTCTATACAATACATAAGAAATCGTTTGGTTGCAATAAAGTAGAATCACGTAACAGAATAGTTGTATAGTTGACAAAAACTGAATCTTGCACTGACGCAAATGTCCTATAACGGCTGCAAGAGGCTTACACTTTTGTTGTATAACTGTTACCTGCAGCCCTTATACAACCTCTTAAATGACCCAAGTGTCCTATTAGGTATGCCCATTCCGCTTGTATAGCTGTTCTAAGAGGGTTTTGCCAATGTTCTCACAGTATACAATGCTGTGTAAGGAATACTGTATAATCATTCTTGCAACTTTAATAGGAGTGATAATTGTTAGTTGGGTTGTCTTTGTTTGCAAACCGGAGTTTCTTCTTTAGCAGCCAGTAGAGTATTTAGCCGGGATAAAATCATGTTGCTCAAGGTGGATCAAGGGGACTAGTCTGTTTCTCCTTAAGCGACAAAGGATCAGTTTTCTAGTCCATGCACGACAATCCGTTGCATCTCATCTTTCCAGCTATATAACAAATGCGTCCGCGCAGCACGCACAAGACCATCTTTCGCTGGCTTCTGAACTTCAACTGCCTATATTTTTTCCGCAAGACCTATAGATAGGTGATCCATATAAAATTATCGAGTTTGCAACCCTCGTCAAGATCCTGCGCCTCTCATTACCCGTAGTAGGAATATAACAACTTTGTTAAGCTTGCCAGTCCCGGAAGCATCTGCAACGGAAGAACCCCATCATAGGACATTCCTGAGCAATGGCCCTAGGTCAGAGCCATGCGGTACTCCCATTTGTACCTTAATCGTATAAAATATAGTAGGCGTGTTAGGTGTCATTGTTCGGTCGGCTGTTTGGAAAAATTTTCACTTTCGCTTCTCGCGCTGGTAGCACCTTCAATTAGAACTGACCGGAGCTTGATGACAGCCCTGGAGTGAAACCTTTTAAGAAATATTTTTCAGACTTACCATTAACTTGCGTCTGCCATACAGCATCTCCAACCCCCCAGAGGCCAGCCGCCATAAAGAATTTGAAGGGCGTATCAGGATGTGGCCTCCAAAGCAGCATCCACGTCTGAAGACCAGTGTGGACCAGCACACCAAGACCCATAATTGGCGCCCTTCCGATGTATTTCATGATACTGCCGAACAGCAAACTGCATACAGCGTTCACGCAGCCGAAACAGATCATCACATATCCTGAAAAGAAAGAACAGTTTGATTCCTACATTTTCAAAAACGAAAAGTGGTGTTGCAAGCCAAAGATTTGCACTCTATTTCAATATGTATGGTCTCAAAGGTATTAGAGGGCGGTTCAATCAACTACTGTTATCAGTTACTAAACCATGGAGAAGCGCATCAGAAGAGTTTCAAGTATTCGCCAACTGATTATCTCAGAAACAATTAGGAATTTCCCAACTAAAGCTCGAAATGCCGTAAAATGGCATCCCGCATTGCCGATGGATGTCGCAAATGCACTTCTTAAGTGCAGGTCCGCTGATACCGCAAGCTAAAAAGTTAAGGTTAAGGCTAGATCCTTCACGTAAGGGCGAGAAAATTCAACAAAGGAATTTTAGTCGCTATTCTTTTTATTTAGATATCATTCAAAATAAAATTACTTACCGGAAAATATATCTTAATCTACGATGCATTTTACTTTGCTGCAGAATTTTATAACTCGGTCGAAAGACGGAGTTTCCAACCTAATCGATTTTTTCCAAATTGTAGTAAACGTGGATACAGAGTACTTCAAAATTAAAACCAAATTTTACCATCTCAAACACGCTGTTACTCGGTTCTTATTTGTAGGCCAATAAGAGACGAAGGTTCTATAATCGCAAAATTCTTCAATTCTGTCAACTGGTGAAGAAGTACTATAATTACGAGAAATCAAAATATTCGTAGTTAAGGGGTTATCAGGAAAGTTAGAAGCAGATAGCGTCAGTTAGGCTGGGGGGTCATTCCTGTCATATCTAAATTGCTCAGAATAGATTTCTATCAAATATGTCTTTTTGTCATCACTTGTCTATCGAATCTGTATTTTTCCATCACTTTCCCAAAACATCTGTCTTTTTCCCATCTACGTCTGGCAGCTTTGACCACCAACCGCACAAGCGCTGCCTAGCGGGGGCAAAAACGGATGTCGCAGCCATCTATATGGCCACATTTCTAGTCTATTGGACCATTGATTAATGCACTCTACATGAAGATGGCCAGCATAAAACTATATTTGCACGTCCGAAAAATTATCCGAGATAAAATGAGATACAGTAGAGTCGCCTATGAGAATTTGCTATAGATGTCTTTCTCCTCTCTCCAATAATTAAGAATCTATATTGAAAAGGTTAGTGAAACATAGATGGGGCTGCAGCCATTCTATATAAGCAAAAAACTGCAGCGACATCTGAGAGACACTAACGTTGTAAAATCGGCTTCACATCACTGCGGCGAACAAACTCTCTCTTCATCTCGGCCAATCTTTAGGACGCGCGAATATAGAATTAGGTTCACTATCCTCAAGTATAATATGGTAAGCAATCATTGGACGTATAAACGAAATACACTTCCTGATAAACATGGCACTCATTTCCGTAGTTTCTCTGATCGATAATTTTTGGCCTGTGTATAACTCGGTAAGCACCGTTAGGATTTTGAGTAAACCTTGACTCAACGATACTACCACGCCAAGATATGAAAAGTTTTGTAGGTTTTGGAAATGGATCCAGTAGCGGCTAAGTTATGAGCGAAGAACGAAAAACAGAAGGGTCCCAAAATCCATTTTTCAAATTTCTGTCCAGAAAAGATCAGGCATCTATCATATTCCACTAACGACTGATAACGGTTAGAGAGATCATGCATCTAGAACGCTAAATAGATCTATATGAGTACGAGGGAATCAGCAAGTCAATCTACTTGACTCCATTGTTGGATCTGATGATTAATAGGCATCTAATGCTGATAAAATTTAGATAATAGTTACAATTACAGCGAGAAGAAAAAGTTACTGTTTTTGAGAATTTGTCCAGTTAGGGATTTTATTATAATTTTGACACAAAGACACACAGACGAAAGAAGCATTGCAGCTTTCGAATTTGAATGGTATTACTTTGAGAGTGCGGGATGCCGGCTGTCAGTCCCGACAATCCCAACTCCTGAAATATCATCATCATCATCATCTTCTTCATCCTCTACACGAACTTACCTACAGATGGGATTCCTAAAGCACAAGACACATACGCTTGAGTAAAGTCAGCACCAATAAAGGCCTGTTCCATGCCTATCCATACTGTCATTGGAATAAGTAGTTGCTGGTAAGGTTTCTTGAGTTGGTATGCTGTGGCTGACAGCAGCTGGATGGGAGTTAGTTCGGGCTGACTGCTTCGCCTGCCTTGCTTCTCTCCATACCTGGAATGGAATGGAAATTTATAGTACATCAGCGGAAATCGGATATATTTCAAAATTGCATGCACAGTCAGTTCCAACCAGGAGCCCCTTACTATCAGGGACTGTCAAATACAGTCATACAAACAAATTAGTGATATGATGTAGCCTAGCTATGGACTGAACTGATTTGGTCCGCAGAAAATGAATGTTCGGGACTGCAGGTATGTGATTGTTGGAAAGAAGCCATCGTTCGATTGAATGAGAAAAAACTACATATGTAGAGTGAGCCATCTGGTGTTTGAAACTTGAACCAGTGGTTATGTGGCGATCGAATGCTAAAATGTCATTCTGACGTGTCAGAAAACTAGTTACATGTTTGATATCTTCGAAATGGGACGCCATATGCTTGATAAAAATTGGGAAATCATGAAAACTTATTTACAAAATGAAAATTTAAGCCAAACCATTGATTAATGTACTCGTATTTTAATAATAATACATTCCCGGGTCTAACAAACTGTCCATCATAAGATGAGGTATCCTGGCGTCGTCTGTGAGAATTTGTCACAGCTACGTTCTTGCACTTCGTACTAATTAGAAAACTACATTGAAAAATTTGGTGTCTCATAGATTGCTCTGTAACCGAATGCAAATACAGTTGGCTATAGCGCCTTCTACGAGACACTAACAAGGAATCAAATTGGCTTAGTCAAAATTTTCATATGAATTCGAGTACCTGAGAGGTAAATTGCAATTCAACAACAAAGTGCATCACAGGGATGTCAGAAATCGCTATCATATCATAATCACCCCATACAATTCTGCTTTGTTCAAACGTGATTTTTCGTATACTGCTGCATTGTTTTATAGTAACCTGGAAAATAGCTTAAGATCTTTGTCCTTTCCGAGTTTTCGTGAGCACGTCAAAAGCAGGCTGCTTGCCATATTCAAACAAATTCTGCAGTACAGATGTAGAGTGTGACCATTTTTATGTTCACATAGGTGTATAGTTTTTTTCTTAAGATTATTTTCATTCTATTCTTATGTTTTAACATCTAATGTAACCGACGTAAGCAGTTAAGTTAACTTTCGCTGCTTATGCATCTCTTGGTTGTTTGTATTTGAATTATTATTATTAAATTCTCTTAGACAACACTACGGTGTCTCATTTCATCTCACATATTTTTTTGAATGCGGGAATATAGTATTATGTTGCCTATCTTTGGGTTAATACCTAACTCAGTGCCCAAACTAAGAAATTTATGGGGAAAATTTGGTCTACGGTTCAGACCATCGGTTCGGTTTGTAAACCAGTTGGTGAAGCGAATTTGTGAGATTGGATCATTATTGAACAAAACAACCCGTGTACGTTCTCATTCAGTGCGTTTAGCCGAAAACATTGGTGGTACCCAGAATGTGCGTGAGTATTTCATCAAAATCACACATCATTCTCTTGGGAGAGTTTTGCATAAGGACTTCGATCTCCGGTTATCCTAGTGGGCTGAAAATTGCTTGTTTGGGACAAGCGTTTTTACAGAAAAATTATGTTTCCAGATGAAACTCATTTTCACCTCGCAGACTACGTCAGTAAACAAAACTGCCGTACTTGGAGATCAAAAGGTGCATGTGTCAGCAAAGAGAAGACAATTTATCCACAACTAGTGATTGTTCCACCATTGGGCCATTTTTCTCCGAAGATGAGCAAATAATTGTCGTTTTAGTCAACGGCCAGCGTTACCGTGTCATCCTCGAATTTTTGCTTTCAAAAGTTAAAGATAATATTATGAACGGCATTTGATTTCAACAAGGCTACACAACTTGCTACACAGCCAACACAACGATCAAACTCTTGGCAACCAATTTTCAAACCCGCATACTCAGCCGAAATTTTGATTGGCCGCCTTGAAGCTGCGATTTGAACCCGCTGGACTCTTTTATGTGGGGACCGGGGATCAATATGCTGCTAACCATCATCAAAGTCAATTGAGACCTTGAAACACGAAATAGCCATTCAAGAGTCTTAGGCTTTTGCTTACGCGACAGATTCGGTGTACAAAAATACCTAGGAAACGAAAAATTCTGTTATCAGAACTCTGCACTCAGAATGCATTCCAGGTGTGTGTTGGCATCCTATAGATAGTGTAAGGAAACATCTCCTGAAACCATCTGCGCCGATATAGGAAAATTCAAGAGCGACACATTGGTGGTGCCAGCATTTATATTCAGCCAATGGTTCGAAAAGGAGGAGGGATGCCAGCGTCTGAATATTGAATGCTCCTCAATTTGTTAAAAAATAATCGACCCTCAAATACCTATTTCACGGGCTTAAAGCAGCTTAAACGATTTGATCGATTTTGATATATCACTAGATTTGTCTTGACAGCGCAAGTGACACTGGATGTATTGAAATTTTATAAAATCTAAATGGCGGTTTTTTATCAAAAATGTCAACTTTGAAGTTCCTATTTTTACGTTATACGGCTTAAAAAGGCTTGATGGATGAAGGATTTTAACGTATGAGGTGTCTGTAGCTTTGTCTGGATAGTGCGAGTAGCACTGGGTGTACGAAAATTTTAAAAAACCGATTTTAATAAGAAATTTCGACCTTAAACTTTTTTAAATCTTTTAAGCTGTTAATCATTCGTTATCAGTGGATTGTCTATTATCGTCGAGTAAATGTATATTAATTTCATTTTTTATTCGAGTTTTAACGAAAGTATGGATGATTTCTTTTTAAGCTTTTAACCATTTGTCCTCACTGCACGATGTTTATTGTGTTTATATATTATGTATTTCTAACAGATTCTCCTACCGCTTCTCTTTGTATCAGCTTCAATGATTTTTACCGGCTAGACGAAGATTTTTTGTGATAAAAAAAGTCGCTGTATATGTATATATTTTTACTGTTACAGATTGAACACATTACGATTCTTGCGCTCTACCTTTAATGTGATTTAACCTGTTAAAATGTTTTTTAATTGTAATGTCCTTATTTATTTTATAATTATAAGTATTTTTCCGGCATATTTGCTCAACGCATGTATGACACTCAAGTTGATATTGGCAAGTCTTATATCATGTAACATGATCCAATAGGACAATAAACTATCTATCTATCTATCTTAAAGTTCCTATTTCACGGGTTACAGCTTAAACAACTAGATGGATTTTGACATACGAGATGGCCATCCTTTACATATGCCATTTTTAATTTCATCAAAACATCCTCTACATGATTGTGAATAATTCGTACATCTTCCAATGATACAGATACCTATATTTACAAGACTGACCTCGTGGTATGTGCTTTTAACATAATGATTTACATTCGAACAGGAAATTCATCTTGAGGCGGTTATTTAAGTACTACCTACATCCAAAAATATCCGCACTCGGAACAGGTTAACAAGGAAAGAAGTAAATGCGTAAGCACACAATCATGCGGCGTAAGAAAAAATGAAACCATTGAAAAAAGTGGTAAATCGATGTGATACCGTAGTTGTATAACTTGATTCTCGAAATGCCATCGGCCAATGGCGTAACCAAGAAGCTTGCAGTGACAAGCTATATGTAGGATTCTCTGTCAGTTAAAGACCAAATTGCAATAAATTATATCTCGGAAACTCCATCCTACGTTACAAATTGTTATTTAAGTAAATTGTTTGTCAGTTTATCAGTATGCTTCTGTGGGACAAATCTTGAAAGTGAATATTGAGCCTTGAGCAATTGAGCTGTAATTTTAACAGCCATCATTTGGAATCTAATATGGCGGATGCTACATAATAGCTATTTATCATTTACATAGTAACCCCCATGCTGTGTATATCGAAGAAGGGGCTTGATGAAAAAAACGCAACAAGCGGAGTGGCGACATTCTAAATCCAATATGACGGCCGCCACAAAATGGTGATTCACATTTATCACGGTCATCCCTACAACATGGGTCTCAAACGGAAGGGCTTAACAGAGTAACACAATAAGCAAAGGACGGATTCTAGATCCAATATGGCTATCGACCCGAAGAAGCGTTTATAATTTCCATAGCCACCTCTATGCCTATGGTTTGGATATCGAACTGAAGGGATTGATGAGAGAAACATAATATACATAGTAACGTACCCTAAGTTCCATATGACGGTCGCCGCAAAACACGGATGTGTCATTATCTGATTTACATTTATCGAATTTTTTGAATACAAATGAAGTAAGGACTTTCATGGCAGTTATAAAAGTTTTATCAGTAAAATATACCAAAATTATATAGAAATTACTGATCTAGTTATTTGACATAAAAACTAAGAATTAAAAAAATGTAAAGAGGAAAGACGCAGCTTCAAAAACAAGTTTGTATTTAGCTGTAAATAAAAAAAACTTCGATTTATACATTTCAATGATAATGGAGCTGATTCATCTCAATTTTCTCACAAAAGCTGATAAAAGGTGTAACACCCCTTTATTTGAAAGTTTGAGACTAAGGAGCTTCATTATCGTTTAAATATTACCAATAGGATAAATTATTTTTGAATTGATTCATCAAGCTGGTTTGCTCTGCGAATTCTTAGTATTCCGAGCAGTTGAAGGTCGACCGTAATGGCGCGGTGCGACGTCTGAGTGCCCATCGCGGAACGTCGATCGGTTATTGGCTAAATAACGTATAGGTGTCTCCATCGTCTTCATCGTACGCGATGGGGGTGAAAATCTGATGCTGACGCTCGTCAGATTTTCACCTACTTGCGCACAATGTTTTTCAAAAGACCACATCTACTTATTTGCTTCCTGTTTCGTCTGGCCGCAAGTCTAGTCCTATGACCTATACAGCACTGATAAGTTGCTAATGAGCATGAAACAGTGATGTCTGTGGCAAATACGTCCCCCTTTAGCCATCAAAAGTAAGTAAGTTAGTAACTAAGTAGGGCTCTTGAGAATTAGTTGGATCTAATGTTTCCTTTTAGTAATTGGATTCTATGGTTTTGAATCCAGTCTCGGAATCAATTTCTTTGATTCGCTTACGATTTATTTTA